CTTCTGCGCACGGTGTGTCATGTAAAATGCCGCTCTGCCAGTGCCAGGGTGGGCAGAGGCAAATTTTGAGATCCACTGTTGGTTTCTTCTGTTTCTTAGGGCTACAGCTTTGCAGATGTCCAACTGCTTGTGGCTTGTGCAAACTTGTTGCCATCTACAAAATGTAATTTCTAACTTCAGCTGTGTTTTGTCCCATTACTTTGAATTAGTTTGTGGTGACATCAGGTCATCCCAGGTTCTGCAAAGGGACAGATGACATTTGAGGTATGCCTCGTTGGAGGCAGCTTTTGAAAGCATGAAGGTGTTTGTGCTAATAAAATGGAGAGAGTAGTATTTTCCACCATGTTATCAGTTTTCTTTGAAATGTGTAGGAAATTTGCAATGTTTCCTCTGAAATTATTCTGGAGAAAATGCAGTATAGCTTTCTGTTAACTTAGAATGCATATTGTATTGTTTTCTTTTCCTGCTAGTGTTTGGAAGAGCGATACATGCCATAGCACGTATTAGTGATGAATTTTGGTTTGACCCTGTAGAAAAAGGTGTAAGTGAATTTGATTTATTGTAATTTAAAAACTTTTCATGGAAGCATAGTATTTATGTTGTTGGATATCATGTTGTTTTCCTACAGGTACCCTTCTCTCTCAGCTTCCTCCATTTTCAATATGGACAAGTGCCATATTCTCTGTGATTGTAATTATGCAGATTACATCATGGAAGATACATTCCTACTCTGCCCTTAATATTCTTCGATTTTTTGTTACCCGAGCTGAAGCTTGTCCAGGACATCCAGATTAATACCAAGGGGTTTATTTCTGTTGTTGTGGGTCAAAAGGTTTATGTTTTGTACCACATCAGAAGCTGCCTCTAAATATGTTTTTGTACTGGTGTGACTCAACAGGAAGAGTGCATCCATTAATATGCCTCCGATTAATCAAACACCATTTCCAGCAGAATTAGGGTTTTCTCTAGAGGTTTCTTAGTTAAAAGTGATCGACTCCTTAACTTGCCGGGAGGCTGGAAAATCAGAAGTGGAGATAGTTTCTTTTCATACCTGAAGAATTTTTGAGGTGCTAGTAATGTCTTTGCTCATCTGTATGTATCATTGGACGGGTGTACAAGGATATTGTTTTAGAATAAACTCCAGTGCTTCAAATGCCTCAAATGCAAGCGGAGCTTTAAGTGTTTAGGTAACTCACACTTCGGGCCACTTAAATGTCCATAGTTTGGATTCCTATGCCTGTATTATACCAGTGACTTCTGACAAGTCAGAATGAAGGTGATAAGTTTGAACATCTTTATATGCACGATGCATCTGTATTTATTTTGAGATGTACACATTTAAAGGTTTTGTGGCTTAGGTATGGTACTGAAGCACAGAGATGGCTTTTTTGTTAAAGGTGCGATATGAAATAGTTTTGAGTTAAATTGTTTTACTTATATTTTCAGCTTGCCTTAAGATCAGTGAATTCTTCAAGGTCAGCATATGCATATGTCTTCTTCTCATCTATGTTTTTTCAACGTTACTGCTGGACGGCTGTGTCTCAATCATGTCAGAAGGAAAAACAGTTATCCCCCCCATGTAAATTGATAATTAAGGTACATTTTAATGGATTGTTATGTACAGCTTTGGAAGCAGCAAATTAGCCCAATTTCCAAATGAAATTGTAGGGGGAAGCTCATAGAGGCATGTAGATGGCTCTAGACTTGACTGCTTCTGAGCAGTTCTGCAAAAGAGAGCGTTGGTATTTAATTATGTTTAGAAGTTGCACCTCCTGAGCTGTGCCTTGCTCCTTACGGAGTATGGACCGGCTTAATCTTGGGGTGAAGGAACTCCACATTTCTGCCTCTGGAGTGTTTCTCCTGTAGCCTTCAAAGCCAGTATGAGGCAGGAGAGCTTTGAGCAGTTGTTTAACAAACAGGCCTGTTTGGGTGAGGGTGAGGGTGGCGAGGATCAGTATCGGTGCCTCAGTGTCTGCTTGCAAAGCAGTTTGGGGAAGCCATAAAAGCAGGAGGTTGAGATAAACTGTACGAAATTCGGGAAATAACATTGCAAAATTACTTGGTGAATAACCTCTGCACTAATTTTTTTTTTTTTTTTTTTTGAGATAAACTGTACGAAATTCGGGAAATAACATTGCAAAATTACTTGGTGAATAACCTCTGCACTAATTTTTTTTTTTTTTTTTTTTTTTTTTACAGTCAGTTCTTCCTGTATTTAGGTGTGTAAATGTGCTGGAAAGGAATGTAGAGAAATGCAGCATTTATACAAATAATAACGATCATCACATAACTTTTCAGCTCCTCTGCAAACATGGTAGGTTACGCATAAAGTGACTTTACAGAAACAGAAACAGTTTAAAACAGCAGAGCAACATAATATTTAGTGTAATTATTAACTGAATGTTATTGATGGAACATTACACCAAACACTTGAAGCTTCTTCACATCATAATTTATATTTCTCATGTGCATCACATTGTTAAAATGAAGTTATAACCGGCTTTATCAGATGTTCTTCAGTTCAGTCGTTATGCATGCTACATATTGTCAACCTACTGCTTACAACATTTAGAATTAGGTTGGAGTAAATTCTGAAAAAAACACATGTTGTGGAAAGGGAGAGGAATCCTGTTTTGGCAGGTGATTGAACTAGAGGATTTACAGGGTCTTTCCACGTCTAATACTTACAGCACTTCAACTTGTTAATATGTTTGACATCCTCAGTCCAGCAGAACACCATGTACATTCATCAGCATTAGTCTTTGCAAAATTCATAAAGAACCATCATCTATCGACATACCTTGCTGAGCTGTGCTGTGTAATAGGCAGTGGTTTATATTATTAAAAACCTAGCTTGTATTACTGATAATGAGATAATGTATTGGATTAGGTCTCAAGACAATTAAGCTCTCTTAGCTCATGCTTATCCAGAAATACATAGAGACCTGTAGGGTTTGCCTTTTGTATTCCACCACCATTTATATTATATACCAGTTAAATACTGAAAAAATTGCATTTGTTGCACTTGTTGCTGTTCACTTATTTCTTGTGGATTCTTTAAAAAACTCAGATGCTGGAGGGGCATAACTAATAGGATGAAGGAAGTCTTAGATGGCGTGTTAATTCAGTTTTCTACTTGTGGGCGAGCTATTTCCACATAGCTAGAGTGAATCGCTTGGTTACTTTCTCTATTGAGATTTCCTAAAAGAACAATGAATACTGAAAAATACATTTAAAATTACAGACCAACATTGATTTTTGTTGCTATCCTTTACTTAGGTGTGGTAAAAACATACAATCTGACCTTTCAAGAATGTGATCCGTTGCAGGCTGTTTTTGCAAAGCACATGTGTCCAAACATACTTAAAGTTCACTCCAGGTAATGTATATAAAAATATTTTTTCTGAAAAAATAAACAAAAAAAACCCCCCACTAACAAAACCAAGGAGGCAATACTGCTCTCGTAGTCATTAACATAATCAAAATGTGATGGTACAGTCAAAAATGGCAGATTCCTAAATCCTGTACCCTAGTGCTTGATTTTTCATATTACAATTTAAGAAATTTGGATCATTCTGCCATTAATCCTACTCAGTCTAACCTTGAGAAGTGTGTAACGTGTAACTTGAATTCACACCTTGAGCAACTTCTACCTATGACAAATAAAGTAGTGCTTTAATTTTATAGGCAAAGAATCCAGTGGTAAAAGTACAATTTTTTTTAATGCGGTAAGGCAAAGTTCTGCTTTGAAAAGCAGCCCCTGGAGGAATCCAAGACTTGGCTTGTCGCTGCAAGCAAAGGCAGAGAACAGTTAGACTGTGCTTTTCCTGACAGCATTTCTATTAAAAGTGTTTCTTGTGCACAGGAGCTTTTGTCACAGTAATCCCCATTAAACCATTAAAGGTGTATAAAGGTATATCCATATAGATATTATGTATTGTGTTTATAAAAAGACTTCTAAAACTGTAAGCTTTTGAATAAATAGTATAGTATACTGAGGTTTGCTCAAAATTGTCATAGATACATACAGAAAGGTAGCAGCAATATATGTATACATAAGACTGATTTGGCAGCATACACAGGCATTAAATATAAACAAATTTGCTTTCAGAATTACTGGTTGTATTTTTAGGTTTCTTATATACCTATTTCTATATAAATCAATTAAAAAGCTACAGCACGCTTCAGGGGGTGCAGATTTCAAAGGCAGTTTTTCCAACAGTATTGCCAAGTAACAATTTTAATTTCTAATGTGAGTAACGAATGCTAGCTAGTAATTTGTGGCAGGTAAAATTGTTCTAATGTTGAATGAAATTTTATAGGCTGCTGGCTGATATAATGATTCACTTTCCAACCAGTCAAGAAGAAGTAACCTTATCAGTTACTCCGATGAAAGTTTGTTTCAAGAGTTACACTGAGGAAGACACTGGTAAGGAAATTCAAAATATGAAACAATATTGAGACTTTAAAATAGTTGAACTAAAGGAATAATAACTATTGCAACATAAATGGAGAATGCATTTTATGGCCAAATGGATTTTTAAGAAAGGGAACATATAGAGAGATTTTAAGTCACGCTGCCACCCTCTGGTTTTAATATATTTTAAGAAAGTATGTTTTTAATAACATTTTCCTGGTATCAGTGGCAGATGTCAGACTGAGCAGCCAATTGAAATAAATTATGCCACTTGCTGTAGGCTTGAACAGAGGTAATTACTGTGCTGCAAGAGCAGAAGCATGGCAGCAGAGGAAGAGAAAGGAGATAATTTTATGTTTTAAAAAAGAACTATTTAAATCTGAATACCATAATTACAGATATCATTACGGAGTACATTTTAGTATAAGGGCAATACAGTGTGTTAGCTGGCCTAACGCTGGTACGCTGCGCACTGCCATTTTCAGATCTCCATCTGAGATGGAGAAAAATCTAGGTTCTTGGTGTGTGACTCAAACTAATTTTAAAGATATAATTGTGGTTTTGAAGTATAGGTTCTTGTATATCATATAATAAAAGGATGCTTTTCATACTTGCTTATGACCAAAGCTGAGGATAATGACCTAGAAAAAGATGACTGCCTAGAGCGTCGGGGTGGGGACTGCGCTGAGAAGAGGCTGAAGCAGTGGAGAGCAAGGAGGATCGAGGGGGAGAAACTGGAGTGAAACAGGGAAAAAAATTACTGAAAATAAAAAGACACTGTAAGGATTAGATTTCGAATGACAAATTTTGTTATTTCAGAAATACACGCTTACAAGGGTGATTGTAAGAAAGAAAGAGAAAAAAATAGTAGGTAAAAATTTAATGATATACCAAAAAAACAAACAGTCATGGGGAAAGAGGAGGAGTTACAAGCATTGTTCTTGTTGTGTAGCGTGTGATGCAATATACTGCCTGCAGCAAACGTACATGTACTGAAACAAAATGTGTCCTTTGAACATATAATCTGGCAATGGCTTGGGTTTTTCCACATTCAGGTTTAATTTTCAAAGAAAGAAATTACACCTTCTGCCTAGACTTGTTGCCGTTTGCATGCGGTAGGCTCTGCCTTGTAGCTATAAGTATGTATTTCTACGGTTTTAAGGAACTTCACAGGAGTATGTTTGAATACGCGATGGGGCCTTGTTGAAGGCTGAGATGAAAAAAAACAACTCTTGAGCAGAGAAATGGAGGCGTGGGAATGGTTTGTAATACTTTGTGAGCAGCCTGGCTTTGGAAGAGAACTGGAGAGGTGTGTGTACTCTAAGCTGCTGGGGAATTTTCCTGAGTGCCCCTGAGACTATAACGCGCCATGGAAGTGCCCTCGTACTTTCTTCTCACACACCTAATAAGAACTGCCGGCTAATCTAATGATAACAAGCAACAGCTGAACACCTGAAACTGAAGAGCCTGTTTCCTGTTGCCATTTACGTATCAGGAAAAGATTATAATTTACAACAAAGAGCCTAAGTCCACCTTCATTGTCTTCTGATGATTGTCAGCAATTATGATTAATCTGTTAAGGTCATGCGGCATTTTGGTCTTCCCATCTATGGAACAATAAACAGCCGGTAATACTGTTTGTGCTGAATGCCTGTAGACAAAGCAGGTTTGCAAGAACAGCAGCAGGTATCGGGTTAGATCACACAGTGGAACATAAAATAGGTTCTGTCAAAAGCCCATTTATATCTACATAATATACTGTAAATAAATCAAGGATTTTATTTTACTTATGAAATAAATTTAGATGAGCTAAACATTTCTTACTGTTTGTCAATATAAAAATACAATTATTTGTTCAAACGATGCTGATCTAAAACCTCATGGTTGTAATCATAGTTTTGTTGAGTTCAAACTTCACTCCATCGAGTCCTTGACTTTCTTGTTCTTTTAAACAGATTTTTCAAAGACAATGCTTACTGAAATACAAATAAATCCAGATGAATTTGACTACTTTCAAGTTGGAGTGGATTCTGAAGTGACGTTTTGCCTTAAAGAATTGAGGGTAAAGCGAGAATTTATCTTGAAAAATAAAACATTTCCCCTTAATTTGCATGGCTTGATGAGGACGCTCCCTGCAGAACGGCCCTGGGAGGTGTTCCCCCAGACCTCCTGACCAGCAGCAGTATTTCAGCAGCTGGTTGAGGATTAGCTTTTAAAAACCAGGATCTTCAGGACACTGTGGAGCCCATCACAGTGGCCTTTGAAAGGCAAGCGAGATGTTTTTAAAACAACAAAAATGTAGTTCCAGCACTGGGCAGACACACTGAAACTGTCCTGGAGACAGCACTGTGCCCACGGAAGTTCCACATGCAGAAGCTTCTTTGGCCAAGCTCCCAGCAGGGAAGGCAAGAAATGTATTCTGGAAGTAGTGGACTTTTACCCTCTTTTTCCCAGTAAGCAACAGGTTGGGTAATCTTACATTCTAGCATTGATCTCGTTTTTAAAATGGCGCCTAACCACCCACCCCTTCTTTTCAGGGTCTACTGGCATTTTCAGAAGCTACCAGTGTTCCTGTCTCGATCCATTTTGACATACCTGGAAAGTACGTTGTGGCACATACCTGAGCAGAACCACTGCAGTTACAACTCTACAGGCGGTTTTTGTCTGCAGATTACTCAAAGAGTATATAACTGGAACAGTAAAATAGATTTTCATTTCATACCAAAAGCTGTATTTCTGGTCTGTGATATGGGGTCAAGTAGTTTGTTATTGCACATAAAGCATTTGACGTAGCTCGCCATGCTGACTAATGAGCATCTATATATACGTTATCGGGACACTTCAGGCTCTCAGGCTAAGGCGTGCAATGATTTTATTTAGTAGTCTAAAGAAACAATACATCTTCTGTTTAAATATCATTTTAACAGTTACATATTAAAACTGTAATTTGGCTATAATATTGTATAGCATTTGCTCCTTGGTGCATTTAAATCTGTATCAGGAAGCCATCTCATAGTCTTCAGCTGCAAATATATGAGATTTGCAGCATTTTTAAATCTGCGTGTGTAGTTGCATGAGCTGTATTTCCTCCCACGGTATGTGTAATTATGCATGCTGGTTTAGTCTCTGAATATTTGTGTTTAGACCAATTGCCTTCAGCGTTGAAGATATGGTGCTGGAATCCTGCTTTATTTTGGCTACCTTGTGTGACATTGAAAAGGAGACGGGGTCCCCGCAGCCTCCCTGCTTGTCACAGCGGCAGGAAAGGTACTGGTGGGGCTCAGGGGCGGGTGAGGGAGGCAGATTGCCTTAAGAGGATGAAAAATTGAAGTTTAAAGTTTTTCAGCCAAGTCGGGTTTAAGCTGGAACGGCAGCGATGTGCTCATTGCGGGGTTCTGGTAAGCATTGTATGGATCCCGCAGCCTTTGTTCACGGGGAAGGTGTGAACTAGAGAGGGAACATCTCCGCATCTTGCACAGCAGTAAAGCTTGGTGCAGCAGAGAGCACTCAGTGCTAGCATGTTTCCCTTTATCTCCACGGGGTTCTGTTGCAGTGGGAGGGGAAGGGAAGATACTTTTTGAGAATCTATTCTAAAGCCGTAAGGCTTTTCATTAATGGAAAACAAAGGCATTCTAACAAAACCACATAAAAGCCAGTTACTAACCTGACCTACTCTCTCCAATCCAGTTCAAAGATGCGTACAGGTAAATCTGAACAAACCGTGGGTAAAGATAGCAGTGCAGAAGCAGTTTCTTCCAAAAAGCCACAGTGGAATGGAAACACACCGAACACAGAGTCAGCAAAACCCACGCGTCCTTTGGCAAAACAAAAGATTACAAGTACTCCCAGGGACAGAGAGAGAGAGACAGCGGGCATAGAAGGAACAGCCCTGACTGAGGCAGAGGGCCACGCAATGCTGGAAGGAGAGGCAACAGGGTCTCATTTGCAAAAGGTAAGGAGACTCCCTGTTGTATTTAGAGTGAAATACCTTAGCTGGTATTTAGCCCAACGCTACCTGTCGTCTGGGGGTTGCCACGCATTGATACTTAGTTCTGCATGTGGCGTCTCAAAGGAACCAGCTTTCGCAGCAGCGTAGCTGACAAAAAACACCACTACCACTTCTAACGGGAACACTGGGAAGAGTCACAGATGGCAGGTGTATTTTATGAGGAAACACTGTAGACTTGTAAAGATTTTAAAGCGGCAAAAGCTTCAGAAATAATTAACCCCCAAATTCTGTATCACATGCAGTTTCTTACTCCTATAAATATTGCATTTTCCAGTTTCACTCCTTATTTTTCGGAGCAGTTTCTTGTACGGAGAAGGATGCCGTCCATCACACCTTCTGTAGTTTAGCAACAGCTAGTGACACCGAAGAGGATTTTGGCAGTGCGCAGAGCTCCCAAGTTCTCTAGTGCCACAAAGCGTTTGAATCCAAGCAAAGACTTATCAGGGGCTGCCTTGAAAGATAAAAGTAAATTTGACACGGTGATTGTGGCACTGTTTCTAGTTTTAGAAAGAAGTTTAATTGCACTTTTTCAGCAAGTTAGAACTTAATGGAAACCATCTGTGTTCTGAGCCCGTGCGGTGAACCGCATTTCACAAATACCTGTTCAGACAGTCTGTAAAGGGGAACGTGTATTCGCTGTTCATGTTCAGCACCGGCGCTGGTCACTGACAGTGAGATGCTGGCATAATGCAGCAGAAATTTAGGTCACGATTGACTCGACTGAGCTTTGCTTTGGATGTTCAGCCCTCCAGTACCTTCTCGCTGGGGAGTTCAAACTGTGTTATCACTTCAGGCAAATGAAGCAGCTGTTGTAAGTTCAGAGTGCTGGAAAAATAAACCCATCTGCTCTGGCAGAGCCAAAGACATTATTGCTATAGAACAGCTGGTATTTTTCGAAGAACTTTGTAGAACTAGCGTTTAACTGAATAAACGAAGTTGCTGTATCTTTTCCCCCTCCCTGCCTCCTCATTCAGACGCGGGTCTGAGAACGCTGTGTGAAGGTCTAACGAGAGCCCAGCAGCCCAAATACTGGTGTCTGCGCATCTCTGCGCCACCAGTGACATCACTGCAGTAAGAAACAAAGCTTGTACAGTCAACTTTACTTTAAAAAACACATTTTAGTATAAATACTATATTTATTAAATATCTTTACAATTCATTTAAATGTATTTACAGAACTATTCCTGCATAAGTTATACCTCAGACATGAAATTCACATAATCGCCTCTTAGGTAAGCATAGATGATAGTCTCATTTTAACAACAACAAAAAAGCATCCTCATTAGATACAGACTCAGATTTGCTTCATTATTTCAGCTATCTTTGTAAGAAACTACTTCATACAGCCAGTTCCTACACACACAATCTCTTTTTTCCCCTGGAGAAAGGATGTCCGTCACCGAGATGGAGATTCCATCACAAAATCCTTCACATCTTTGCCAGACCTTCACCTCTCCCTTCTCCTCGACTCAGTCAGAACTGTCTGGTCCCAAAAATCTGATTTTTTTTTTTTTTTTTTGGCCATACCTTCTTCATAAACACAAAGAAAGTACACTTAGAGGGAAACTGTATGTTGCAGGTCTCCCAAAGATAGCCATAAAAGTAGCAAGGAACCACAGAGTTTTTCCAATTCACCCCGTCTTAGCCCTGTTTTACCCAAATACTGAGTAACGCTGCTGCAGAAATCCCAACTCCTGCCAGTCCTGTGACGTTACACCGTTGCTGCTGGGCAAAACTCTTCCTTTTCCTTCAGATCACCGCTCTGAACCACCAGCTCCTGATAGCAAACGCCCCCCGCCCTCCGCAGCAGCTGGAAGGCAGCCTGTGCTCCGCTCACGCACCCTTCCCTTTCATGGAACACCCTTCTTGGACCTTCCTTTCCTCAACAGTCGCTCGCAATAATCTAACTCCTAGGAAGTGTTACTGCTTCATGCATCGTTTAAAAATTATTTTGATAGTATGGGCCCTGTCACTTCCTTTTCCAAAAATCTGTTGTGCGCAGACAGCTTAAGTTCATAGGAAGAAATTAAGTTTGATATGTTTAGAGTGCACATCTTAAAAAAAAAAAAAAAAAAAAACCAAAACAAAAACAATCAAGCATGTGATAAAAATATCAATTCTTTATAATACAGTATTGCTTTATAAACAGATGGAAAAGCTATAAGCTTTACTGGTCTTTGGTGTGTCCAGTGAGGGATAAACTCATGCTTTGTAAATCAAAATCCAAATTTGTTCTTTATTAAAAAATAATAATAATAATAATCAGGATGTGATATGAGGCAAATGGCTTCGTAGCTACTGCTCAGCCAAGAGCGGCTTTAACGCGGAGAGCGCGGCGCAGCCTCGCACCGCCGGGCACCGCAGTCCAGCCTGGCAGCCGCTGGCCCAGGCTCTCGCGCTCCAGCCCCCGGCCTGGCAGAGGCCGAGCGCAGCGCAGGCAATGCCTCAGGCGGGGAAAGCACCTCCGCCAGGCTCATCTGCGTGCGGGGCTGTAGATCATTGCGGGGGAAATAAGGAGGGCCGGGGAGGAGGGTGCAGAGAGCCAGGGGTCAGAGTGCAACGCAGCCTGGGTCTGCCGGGGCATCCTTTTAAGGTAAGTTCAAGGGGAAGAATAATTGATCAAATCTGCTCTAATCGAGAAGCGTGATAGTAAATACTGGAGAATAAAATGTCAAGACACCCAGATTTGGGAGAGAAGCCTCCCTCCCAAACGCTAGAAACAAAGCCCTATGCTGCGGCATGAATACATTCCTCCTAACGAGACAGCGAGATACAGCTTGTTCAATTTTTAAAAAAACAACAAGGACTGACAATTTGTGCAAAGTTATCCACCTCTCACTGTTCCATGGGTGGCAAAACTAATTAAGTTTTCTTCATTAATATAATCCTCCCCATACCCTCACCAAAATAGTATTTTGGTCAAGTTAGGGTAGTTAAGGCATTTTGACAAGTAATTACAAGGTGATTTAAAATAGATAGCTAACATGATGCCAATTTAGGAATAGCAGATAAATTACCGAAGAGCTTCCAAATTAATCACTTTCTCTTATTATAAATGAAATGCCTGTTACAAGCATGATGCATTGAAATATAGTAAAATGACATGTACATGGTACATGTTAAATGATCTTAAATAAAAGCTTGACATAGTTACGCAAATATACAGTACAAGTCCACAAAAATTCTTTAAACAAGTTGAGGTAACCTCAAACTTAAACAGTTTTAATACAATAAACCAGGTAGTAAAAATCTCCTTTTGAGAGCAGGTAAGATTACTTACTGACCAAGTTTAACTGCACTCACCTAAACAGCAACATTACCCGACTTTTTATATATAAAAACATGGCTTTAATTTATTTCTACATACTTTTCTACCAGCAAAAAAGTTAATGAAAAACTGACCAAAAATATATATATCTTTACAGCTATCGGCTTTTTGTATGAACCTCAGGAAAGAAAAAGGAAAGCATGCTGGAACGGGGGGAACAAACGTGAGCTACTGTAATTCAAAAGGAAATGTAATATTGCAAAGTGGCTGTTAGATAACTGTAAACATCATTAAGGTTCATTCGAAACCCCTAAACTTTAGTTACTGAAATGTAAGTTTTGCTGATTATTCATTAATAGTTTCCATTTCCGTACTTACTGCTGCTGCCACAGCATAAGCGAAGAGGTGCATGTTTGAGAGCCAGAAAGATAAGGATCAACTGGACTTAAACTGGTGCAGCATATTCTGTTCTACACAAGCGAGAGTGGCAATTACTAACATAAATCATGGTTGGTTAACGAGAGTTGGTTATCTACCAAAAGTGAAGACGTTTGGAGTTGCGGATGATCTGTTCTTTGTGCAACCTCCCACTGTAGCATTTATGCCGTATCATCCCGCGCTGGCGAGATGGGTTAAAATGCTGAAAGGATCTCAACTTTGGCCAGCTCGGCGTTTTGAGACCGAGTTAAAATTTTTGTGGTTTTTTTTTTTTTTTAAATAAAAATAAAATTATCCACAGCCAAAACATCCAGATACCAGGCCCATTACGGACGAATGATCTGCAGAACTTTTAAGATCACAGTTAAGCACCTGAAATCACAAAACACATTTGCATCCATATAACTTGAACTAAGTATGATTTTTGAAATTTTGTACTAGAAAAGGCTCCTAGGCTGACACCATGTATGGCAAGAGCAGAATGTATACAGCAGTTATAAATCTCCTGAAAACTGGAGCTTAGAAACACGAAACCTCAGCTATCACTGTTAACAAGACTATGCTTATGAAACTGTGTTCTGTAACATACCCCTTAATGAATAGTGAAAGTTTCTAGTAAATAGAGTAATATGCCCCTTGTAGAGGTTTTATCTATCGAATCTAGTTTGAATGATGATAAACCAATTCTACTCCTTTGAAACTAAGTCACATTTCAAACGCAGTAACGATGCGGGATTCATCCTCCCCCTTTTAAGGACAGCAACTAAGCTCTGAAAGACATGCTTCAAGCCTTGAGCTTCTTCATTTCTTGCTGGCAGACGCAGACCAGTGTACTGGAGAGTGGTTCGTAACAAGGACTTCAGTTGTGTCTCGACAGGCAACAAGCTCGAGACCTGGCTGCTGAGATCAGCTGCGAAGGAAGAAAGCGATCCTGCCAGCAGGAAACCGTAGGTGTGAAGCGAGGAGCTCGGGGACAAGGAAAACGTCAGAAGGTGACACTCCGGGCAGATCAGTCTGTATACTCAGCTACAATAGACAGAAGGACGGTGATGTCATCTGGTTTTCCCCCTGTAATAGAAGAAAAATAAAACTATTTTATCATACAGCAGGTCATCTTCTTATGATCTGTGACATTCTCCCACAGGAAGCTCTTTACAAAGAGTCAATATTCAAAAACTGTTTTGTGTGGACACAAGAGCTCTGCTTCCGCCACCTCTTTTCCAAAATGCGACTGAGGGTAGCAATGACATTTAACACAGCAAAAAAGTGCTCTCTCCTTTTAAGCTATAGCGAGATCACAGACTATTAAGAGCAGTACACAACCTTGAACATTGTTGTTAGCCAGCAGAGCAGAAAGCCTGTTTTCTAGCAGACAATTTAGTGGGGTTTTTGTTTTTGTTTTAATAAATGTACAGAAAAAAATGACATTGCTTTGTTACAAGCAAGCTGCAATAAAGAAGTATTTTCTCAGGAATTTACTGTAAATCAAACACCTCTTTAGCATCTTCTCCAGCACTGTATTACTGCACATATCTTCCTAGAAGCTACTTTAGATTTTTAGTAGTCACTTTTCAAACCTCAACACACTCAAATCCTAGAGAAATGGCTCAGAGAGGAGGGATTTTGTTATGTAGGAAGTCAAACCACTCCTCTGCACTCGGGAGATCTGCAGTTTCATTACTGAAGGACTGAGCTTTGTAGCAACACAGAGCCCGAGAGTTACAGCTACTGCCTCTGCCTTTAGGGGAAACACTTAAGGGTCTTGCAGGAAAACCTGCCCTCCTGATGCAGAGATAACGAGAACATCTTTACTAGCAGAATTATAGTTATTAGGAAAAAAAAAGAAAAAAGAAAGGTGTTTGACAGGACTCTGAACTCTGCCAGGTGTCAGCATCTTTCTAGAGCGTAGGAAATAGAACCGCAGAGATCAGGATGGGGATGCTGATGGTACAAGGGTCAGAAATTCCAACCAAAAAAACCCAATACCAAAGAGCAGGCAGAATCTCAATTAAAAAAAAAATCAATAATAAATGACCTTAAAAACAAAAACAACCCCCAAAGAACAACACCCACACACCACCACCCACAGACCTGAATCCAAGGAACAATTTAAGTACAGTTTCCCTAAGAGCCTGGAGAACTTGTGTCAGGCAGGATTCCTGGGGCAGGAGTGTATATATTAGCTTAAAAAAAAATTAAAGATAAAATAATAAAAAAAAAACCAAACAGTGTGCTGCATTCTCTGCCTTCCAGCTGCTTCCCCACAGGAGGCTTCTGATCAGCCGGGGCCTGGGATGACCTGCGTTGGTAGCTGGCGTCCCTGCCAAACCCAGCGCGCTAGAGTGGCGCTCTACCGCCAACCACATTTCCTAACGCTCTGTTTTCCTATCAGATTTTGGAAGATCAGAACAGAACTTCACTTCGCTTAAGGTTTCTCAGAGATAGCAGGAGTAGGATGAAAATAAAATACAATAAAAAATATCTTACCTCTCACATTCAATCCATTGTCACACGCAAACTGTGCAAATGGCGACATGTAAGTGGGATCATACGCCAGCTCGTGAGCTTGCTCAGCAATGCTTCTTGCAGTCTGCTGTATACTCTCATAGTTGGAGTTCTAAATTAACGAGGAAAAATGTTTATTCACACAAAGTCCACCAGTAGTTGTTTTGCTGATGTGTGTCAGTTTTATAGATCCCTGACTGCCAGACCTCTCTCTCTCTCACTGATTACGGCACCAGTTACCACCTTCTCCTCCCAGTGGAGCCCTCACTGTCGTTCAGGCTTTATAAATTTGGGTCCGTGCTGCAAAGCTTCACAACTGAAGTCTGGAGCTCTATTCCCTACCAAGAGCTAAAAGACTTGGCTTTGGAGGATTTGTAGGATTTAGAAACTTAGAAGACTAATACTCAAAATAGACTAAACAGTCTCACCTGAAGGAAAGAGGTTATTTGCTGTAGCTATACCAGCAGTTCACACTGGAAGAACCATCCTTCCCTCACAAAGGAGGCTCTGTTGAAGTAATGTTTTACCTCAAATGGGAAGTCCTACTCATCTGACCCTCTTACCCACATCGACAAGAGCACGCCTGGGGAGAAGGGGCACTTTAGAAGTTAGATGAGAAAAAAAAAAATTATTGAGCGTGCAAACTTTCTACAGAATGCATTTTAAGTGTTTTTTTTTTCAGTAACTCTGTTGCTTTACACAAAGCCTTTTCTTGCTCAAGCCAACACGACACGACAACCACCACTCTTTTTGTTTGTGACTATTTTAAAATGCCTTGTCATTGCAAGAGTTTTCCCCGCAGTTCGGGGAATCAGCAGGCGTTTACAAGATTAACTTTTGGCTGAACCTCACGGGGAACTTCAGTGCCTTTCCCAAACACGCCAAAAGGTGGAGCTGAACTTTCTTCCACACGGGAATTCCACCGCCAGTGCCAGCCCGGGCCAGGCCAACCTCACCATGCGCAGCACTCAGACGGTGGAAGTAGAGCAGACAGGTCCGGTCTGGCTGCAGCCCCAGTGACAGCCGCACAGGTTGGCGACCCCAGCCCCTTCCAAACCTTCCAAACCATGACCGCGCATCTCAGTGCGGTCACTGCCTTCGCTAACCGGACTAAAGCCTCCGTGACAGCTTGTGCTGCAGCACGGTCACGTCTTCCATTCCGCAGCACAGCTCTACGCGTCTCGATTGCAGACCTGAACACTGCACCGAGGGGAGAGCGATAGCAGGGACCGCAGGGAGAGGCAAAGCCAGCGGTCCGCCCACTGCACAGAGGCCCCTCAGACACCTGGTCTGTAAGGACCCGTTCTCTGCCTGACACCACCTTTCAGTTACATAGCTGCAGGATAAGAGCAGGCAAAATTTTTTAAAACCACACTGTAATTCTATATGTTAACCTTATTTGCATTTCGTAACATCAAAATAGTTTCCTCAGGGAGGTTATACATATTGATACCTCCTAAGTATACTTTCCTTTCTGTAAGTAAATAGCCTTAAGCTAAATGTTCTCATCCAAATTAAAATATTTTAATGTATTATTATTATTTTAAAAGAATATTTGTGGTCACTAACCTGCAAAAGTTGCCAGGAAATTTTTTTTTTTTTGCGCCGAACATTAAAGATGCACATGCAACCCCCAATTCAGACAGCCCATACTTTTTTAGAATTACTGCTTTATAAATCTTGAGAAAAGATTCAAATTATTTTTAAGCGCACAGCTCACCCCCTCAAATAACCCGTAAGAGAATTTTCATGTGTATAGTCTACAACCTGCAAGTACAGATCATAGAATGGTTTAGGTTGGAAGGGACCTTGAAGATCACCTCGTTCCACCCCCCTGCCCTGGGCAGGGACACCTCCCACTAGAGCGGGTTGCTCCAAGCCCCGTCCAGCCCGGCCTTGAACACCTCCAGGGATGTTTAAGGTAAAATACAATGTGTGAGCAGCTGGCCAAGGGGCTCTCCCTCCCATCACTACCCAGTGACACAGTATGAGCTGCCACTCGGGACATCTGTGCCCAAGCTGCTGCTTCTGGATGCAGCCCGGGTGCAGCTCCAAGAGACAGCAATTTGGGGTCAATGTCCCTTTCTACTGCTCACGTGTGGTATTAACTGAAAAGTCTCTACACAATAGCACTTTGTGGTGTGTCTTTTTATACATAATAAAAAAAGTTATGAGCATAAAAAGTAACGGTACTAACCAGGAGGGATAACCAGTGCAAAAGACGTGAGAGATTCAGAACACACACACACTCACCTTCAGCTTTTTTAATTCCTGCAGAATCATGTAGTCAGGCATGTTGTCAAACAGTCCGTCTGTTGCAGTCAAAATAATGTCTCCAAGTTGGACATCAAAAGAAGTACTATCAGCAGCATCAGGGCTGGGAAGGTGACAGACAGGTTAGAGAAAAGGCCTCCAGCTTTCACTAAGGCACCAAGCAATGTCAAACCAGCACGTGAACAGCTTTTGTAATTCACTACTGGTTTGTGTTTTGCTGCAAAAGGAAGAAATAATCACTAACTGTGGAGCTTTTGCACCAGGATGGCTTGTCAAGAAAGCTACAACAGAAGAACCGTGATTGCAAACAGGTAATGTTCCAGCTATTACACAAAGGATTTGCATTTAAAATTCCCAGATGAACAATCCTGCAAACTAATCCGCTTCACAAGTGTATCTCCATGGAAACCATTAAGTAGAATGGCAGCTCAGGGCTTCCTTCTCACTCATCTTAAATATGTAAGAGAGCTATACTTGAAAGGACAATTCATAACAGCAACGGCCAAAACACTTAAGGATTCTGAATCACTTTCTAATGCAATGGAATATGAAACATGGCTGGCAGTCGCTACCTGGACACCACAGCCCATTGGTCTACTTATGTCTAATATATTACACAATACCAAGAGGAAAAACTATCTATTTTGGCCATGAATATCGCTGCAAAACCTGATTCTCAGAAGCAGCATAATGACAAACCCTTCACGTTTAAAGATTCTTCAGGGGTCTTTAAAAGGGAGAAACTGCTGCATCCTGTGCCATTTGACTATGCCAAAAAAGCAGAAAAGCTGCTTTGCTCAACTGATTCGTAGCTTGAGGAAGGTTAATAGAGTTACGATTGCCTGCCTATTCCCATATATAGCCAAATTTAACATTTAACTGGGACAGCAAATAAAAAAGAGGTACTGGAGAAGCATTTAGACAACACGCATGAGTACCAATTAACGTCAAGAACAGCGCAGAAACTAGCCAGAAAGCTATAATCATGATTCAGAACTGAAGTGTGGGAGCTCATTTATCTTGTACTTTCCTTATTATGTGATGACTCAGATTAGATTGCTTTCCTGACTTCCACTGGACATTATCAATTATCCTTGTGCATTTTGGTCTTTGTCTTCCCATGGATGATATAGAATCTCAGAAAAATCCAGATTTTTATAGTTCTGGAATTTCAAACAATCATTGCATTTTAGTGGAATAAAGAGATTAGATCATTTAAGGTTTTCATTTCAGAGTTCTACCCAAGCTTCCTCTCTGCAGTCTTATGATGAAGTAATAAAACCACATGCAAGAATGGTCAAGAGTTTCAACAACTTAACCAACGTTTTCAAAAAGTACTACATTGACATTCAGAGTTATAACCTTTATAAGGCTTTAACTATCAAGGCTGATGCAGTATCAAAAACTTAAGATGCCTACTGCATTCCCTGTATACTACGGTCACTCTTTGAAGATCCCTTTAACATCCTCCCGTATTCAGAAGGGACTATCACTTTAATGAGTGTATAACCATTGATTTGGGAGCTGTATTTTAATACATATTTGAAAGTTGATTATTTTTTTAATTTTTTAAGTATTTTCTTTTACTGGTGAGACTTCACAAAGTCAGAGGATGGATCAGCCTGACATTCTTAGGGGAAAACACAAGTACAAGTCTGCCTTTGAAACGACTCATTTCTGTGAACAGATTGTCCTTTCCTAATACTCTCATTTCCCAGCTTGATGTTCCGCCAAACAGTTTTTTTTTGCTCGTTTTGGTCAAATACAATATGCTGCGGGAAACACAGCTATTTGGAAACACAAGTTACAGTCACATGTCCCCTCTGCTCTATTCTTCAAGTACTTGCTACCTCACTGCCAAAATATCTAAATTAGCGTACTCCAAACCGGTCTCAAGAGAGTACAGACAGGGACTGGCAACGAAAGCCACTGATAAGACAAGCCACTCGTGCAGGGTGACCGGTGCGTACAGCAGCTGCAGTCTTATTGCAGCAGCTTGATGGAGTAACATCTTTTCCATGTGCGCACACGCCTAGCGCACAGCACAGACTAGGGGAATACGCCATTGTGAATGAATCATCATTAGCCCAATACATTTGGACTGTGCAACAGCGGTCAAAATTTATTAAGTGGAAGGTGAGAAATGTTCACATTACCTAAAGACGGGGGGGCAGGCAAAAGAGCCTTTGATTGGATACATGCTGAAATCCCACACGCTACGCTGCACTATGCAAAGAGCACTGTAGCAGCAAAACTGCAACCTTTTGGGAGATGATCGCATACGCAAATTAAAAATTTAAGACCCTCTCCCATCTTACCTGTCACTTAAAACAACTCCTTCTGCTTCCGGTGGAGCTATTGACAGTTGGAACGGAGTGTTGAAGTAATGCTGTTGCTCATCAGATCGATGTACTACTTCTCCTCCCCTGACTACCAAAAATCCAGAATCTCCCAAGTTGGCTGTATGTAAACGATGACTTGTTCTGTCCAGAACTACTATACAAGCCGTACTGCTTCCTGGAAGCAAACAGAACACAGTACCTGGAGTGAGCCTTACAGAAATGGTTTATTCTTTAACCGATTTGATTCATTAGTCAAATACTCCAATTACTCAGATATTTATCAAAGCTTACAGATCATGACAGTTAGAAATACTCAATAACGCCAAAATTAATATACATTAAAAATAGCAAAATGCTCTAGATCTTTGCAAGACAAACTATGATTTTTGTATAAAACTTACTTCTCCTGCTTTGATTTTGGTAAACACATTATGCTGACAAATACCTGTTTTGTTCCACTTTATTTACAGTTTTCCATCCCAACATATGTCAGCACATTCTGCTATAGGACTGGATTTACAGAAGGCACATAAAATACTGAAATTCCGAAATCATTGAGATAATAGAATTCTAGTAGCATCCATACAATGCTAGGTCCTCTCCACACAGTTTCACTCATCAGCTGTAAATAAACCACACCAAGTAAAGAACCGCTTGCAATTAAGTATTAGGTATTATTGCATTACTCTTGTCAGAACACTGAAATGTTTTTATTCATAGTATGGCTCTGTAGAGCCATCTTCATGCTTTTTAAAAAAAATAATCCTGTCACATCTTCAGGATACTAACTTCACAAGTTTAAAGAAAACGTGTTTCAGAATCAAATAACCAGATTAAAGTTAAGACAGAACGGAAACATATCTACTCGTCAACCACGCTCAGAACTATCCCAGCCATACTTGAGGGCACTGAGGAATTCTTGATTCATTCACTGGTAAGTAGCCACCAACTGTGCTTGGTTGCAAGCCACGAAAATAACTGTATTGCAAAGATACCCATCCACAGACTGAGTCCTTCACAGCAATCGGCAACCACTCAATTTCTGCAAATGGGACAGCACATCCACCAAAAGAACTTTCATTCCCAAAGAGGGTGAAATACAGCTGAAGCGTTTCTTCTTGACTTCTGCCTCTAACGTAACTCCCTATGCGACTGTCTAGTGAATGGTCTTCATCTTCTATCCTATCATTCTTCCAGCAGAAGCTTCCAAGCACAGCTACGTCTTGGACAGACCACAGGCTTGCAAGGAGCTGAATTTTTAATCAGGCTTGCTAGTGCAGAAGTCCAGCTGGCTCTAGGCATCACCTATTCCAGATGTTTCCCTTTCTAATATAGGGAGTTCCCTGCAATACACTTGCACTTAATTTATTCTTTAGTGAACATACAGGACCTTCTCCACTCTTAGGGAATGGTAAGTCAAAGCAGTATCTCAGGAAAAATTCAGATTTTATATGTGTCAGCATCCAAGATTGTTCTGCGATACAAGAATAGTGTTTAAATAGATGGCACAGGTTCCTCCCACTTCAGTTTTACTTTAACATATTCACTACATTCAATTCTGATGAACTATGTATCAAGACTTAGAACAGAACAGCAAGGAAAAGTTATTGCCTAATGAATCCTCCTTAATGAAGTCCTCTCCCTTCGCTTTATTTTAAATAAACTCTAAATGCTCATTGCTGTGGTAATTCCAGGGCTTTATTTCTACTTCTAAAAATACTGTTCTCTGTTAAAGGAGAAACACTAAGGATCATTAGTTTCAAATTCTAACTCTATTAGCAGAGTGTAACTAGGAGGCCATGTGTGGAATGCAGATCTTGTGACTCAGCATATGCTGCTTTTCAGAATTCGAAAGGTCAAGCCAAGCAGGGCTGCCTCCGTCTACAAAGCCACTGCGAGAGCTCTCACCAGTGGCCCACTTTGTAGATCACTTACAGCTACATCTGCTTTGCACAAATAAGCACTATTAAACACACAAAATCCTAATGTAATTACCGACCACTGCTATTTTAGTGATACTTAAGGTCACTTCTGAGGTTCGAGCCTATTCTTTAGGCATATAATGCGAGAACATCTGTTCCTGAGCTCAGAAGACAAGTTAAATATAGCTTACACAGCACTCTTCTGGCACAGAACTTTAAGGTCAGGTGAGAAGCATGCATATCATGCAGGGTAACACTTTTTTGGTGCATACAAGGTCACATGCCCTTTAGAAAAGTATTCTGTTTTCAAGGTTGTCAGCTGAGGACAAATGTTGCCTCTCTATCGGCTCACCATTCCCAAGGCAGCCGGATGCCCTGTCTCAAATCAAGTTTGACACAGAATATGCTAAGCATCTACTTTAGGTTGCTTTCAAAAAAATCTGTCATGGTTCTGCCCCAAAGAACTATTAAAATAATACACACTACCAGTGATCTTATGATATAAGCTACTTAAGTCAACCAATTAGGTTTAAAGATCATTGGACATAAAAGGCAACAAGAGCCGTAAGGCAAGGAATGAGCAGAACTGCATCCAATTATCGTCAGAAAATATTTTTGCTTGCATAGCTTAAGCAAAAAGCCACAACCAACTATTAAAGAGTTTTCAGCAGAGAACGGTTATTTATACATACGTAACAGAAAGAATGAGCCCACATGCCCCAGCGTATTCTACTGCTGAACTTGTTTTGCAAACTATCTGCAAGCACTCATGAACTACCACCCTTCACACAGGGCACTTCGCCTTTTTTTTTTTAATATATGTATATATACACACACACACATAGATACACAGACACATACATTCTCTGCATTATCGAATGAATGAAGATAGTTCTTAGGCACACATGAGAAAATACGGATGCTACCAAGACAACTACATTTCTCTATTTTTTTTGTTTATTAAAAGATAACTGCCTGCAAATTTATTGCAGAAGGTGACAACACATTTAAGCAACCTTGGCTAAGTATGTGTCTAGATAACATACAACACGGATCCAATTTATTTATTTTTGCTTTCTTACCAAGCAAAGGTACTTTGTTCTGCAGCAGCTCACAATAACCTGCGGTGAGGATCCCCACAGGATTGCTTGGTACAAACCGTCCTTCTTTTACTAAACGTTCACATGTTCGCATTAGAGTCCCTGAGAACTGAGAAGGGTCAACCCCATAGTCTCTCCAGCCACCTACACCATCTGCTACCCCTAGAAGAAAACAGAAAACAAGAGTTATATCAACAGAAATGGGTTCCAAAACAAGGTTTTTGATTTTGGACATAATATATGATATTCAGTAACTGCAAAGTAGGACATAGTCCTTGCTTGAAAAGCATTTTTGATTAAGAAAAAAAATCCTGAGCATTTATAAATTAACTTCTGACATCAGCTCCTAGACAAATCTCTAAATATAATCTGAATTACTGAAAAGAAGGTAAAAGCCTAATGCTGAGAACTCTCAGAGGAGGCTGACTTCACTAGAGAATAACGCATAGGGAATTTGGGAGGAAGGAGGAGGATTCAATCACATTAACCTTTGATTGGCCCGTTAAAAAAAGCAGAGTTTTTATTAGTTTTAAATATGAAGGTTGTTAAGATTTTTAAATAGGATAGAAATGATAAAGAAACTCTTCCCCACTACTCAGCAGCCCAAAGTTTTTTTTCTCAAGCTACTTGCTCATATGAAGGATAACGCTTTCTATTCGGCAATATCAATTTCTGTAGAAACTAAACTTCCATTTTAGAAGTGTGTTCAAAAAACCATAAAAGCAACACAATGCTGGGATCTACCCCTGCAAGGATAGTTTCTTCCTTAGAGCTTCAGCCAAGCAAGAGAATGAAAACTGACTATGATCCAGTCAATTTTCATTCAGTTATTCAAAACAACCTAGATAGCAGAAAATTAGACCAATTCTGCCAAAGCCTGGGAAGCTTCTGAGCAACCATAGAGGCCAATAGCGAAGACACACATAGAAAAAGGGGCTGGTCAGAGGGAGATAAACAACAGGTATGACATTCTGCTGCCCATTTGGCTGAAGTAATTTGAACTTCCTCAACTGACTTTATTGTTAAAGTGAAATACTATCCAAAGGTTTTTTTTTTATGAGATAAAAATATTTGTACTTGGATATTTTTCCAAAACTCTTTGATCCTCAACATGTAAGGGACTAACCCTTTCAAGCACAGGTTTTGGTAACATAATAAAGCTAAAATACTACGTTCGTGAAAAAAGGATGAATAGCCAATTTCAGAGCTCAGATTCTGCTGAAGAACAACAGCCACCTGAGAAAAAATGCTGCTATTAGCAAAGGCACGAAAATTTGATTGAGAAGGTAAAACTAAGTTTGACTCATCTCCAAATGCCCTTCACATGGGACACCATCTGAAACTGAGACGGAAGGTTTAGAGCCGACCTTGGCACGAACTATAATCTGACAGGAGGTTATAGCCAGATTCTGAACAGCCTATCAACATTAATCAGATTTCTCCCAAAAATAGTGCACAACCTTTTAGACACCTGCTTTGTCTGTTTGCTTTCTTAGAAGAACGCTATAGGAAGGCGGATTCCTGTATTCACCTCTTCAGACCAGACCTTGGGAAGAAGCTCATGCAAAAGCAACCCTGGAGTTCTCGGAAATGCCTTTTTTGGTTTCTTCAAGAACAAATTAATCCTCTCTTTACAGGTCCCACAATTTCAGGTTAATACTGGATTAACCCTTTGCTTTCTGCTGCCACACAGACAAGTCTAGAATAAGAGATTATTAAGAAAAAGTTCTAGATCTAGAACTTGAAATAGAAAAACTAAACTTCAGTTCGGATGGTGATGCTTGCTTTACGTGAAGTTACCAGACAAGTGGCTTTTTTTCCTTTTAAGATGAACACAATCCAGATGTACTTTCGCTAGCAGAATACAACATTGCTTCACTAGCAACTGGGTTAATGCAATGAAAAGAGGATGTTTGACAAGCATTGTCCAAAGCTTTTGGCTCCTAAGGTGGTTAGGAGGTAATCAGAAATTACAGAGTTCCCTCAAGCGATCAGTAAACCATTTTTGCATTAGTCTTCTTGGGAAATAGTTAAACAGAAACACGACAGCATTAGTATACAGTGCAAGAAAGCCGTCATAGCAAGCACCTGATAAGGTTAGTTATCAAAACCAATTTCAAATTTTAAAGCAAAAATAAGAGTACACTACCCAATTGTCTTTGTTCACTTCTTACTCCAGGCAGGAAATCTGAATCCGTAATCATGGCAGCACACTTCATACTCTATCTTGAGCCATGAAATGGCTTTGTCTGTCTGCCTTCCTGTCTGCTTTTTGCAAGCTATAAACAGCTTTAAGTACCTTCTGCCAGCGCCTTCCAAAACAATCATCCTCTAGATGGTCCACAAGTAGGTCCTCTGACTTAGCTTTGTACCATACTTAAGAGAACAGATTGTCTGCTTAAGAATCAACAAGACAGTTGTGCATTCCTTCTCCATCGCTGGCACAGAAGCAAACGGGACCATCGAGTTCATGAGCGGGCCCCAGAGTATGCTTTCACTGTAACACCTCCACAACACCTCATCAGCTCACTAGCTTGTGTACCCCCACTGGCTTCTATTTCTTCTCCTTGTGCAAAATGGACAATGTGGGGGTTTTTTGCAAAGGTTTGGGTTGTTTTTTTATTTTCCTCATTTTTTGGGTTGTTTTTTTGTTGTTTTTGTTTTTGTTTTTTTTTTTTTTAACTGTATCTCTTAAAGATGATAGGTCAGTTCATTTAATTTAAGTTAAATGACCTTGTTGGCTCCCAAAGCATGGGTCATCAACACTGCCAGAGCAGTCAAGTGCTTCCTCCTGCTCCGGCACAGAGCCAGGAATTACTGCTGCCATCAAGATCAATGGCAGTACATAGGCAAAGAGCATTCAAGAAGCCCTATACCACACAGTGCCACCTAGAAAACATCCACCTTTATTGTTTTTCCCTTAAAAGATTATGTTTATGTCCCCTAAGACCTTTAACCATCCCATCCTACCTTCAGCGTGGTTTGAAAATAAAAACAGTATCTTTACATTTTACATTCTCAATATATACTAAATGGTTTTATGGGAAAGGAATATGTGTTTTTAAAAGACTGGATAAACTGCTACTGAAATAGATGAAATGTAAAGGAGAATAAAGTTTAAGAAAACTTTGTGATATTTGATATACCACAAACAAGGAGCAAAACTTTGTGAAATATTTTAAACTCCCGAAGTAGCAAGAACTGAAAACTCAAGTCAAAAATGGACTAATTTTTATCTAATAGAACATTTTTCCTCTGTCACCAAAGGAAAATGTAAAGGTATTGCTATTGACAGTATCAGTGCCAAGGAATAATGCCAAGCTCTATTCATTTATATTACCTTTGTTTCCATCTAAGACCAAAAAAACCCTGGAAACATTCAAAATAACTAGTTTTAAGAAGTTAAAAAGATTACTCAGGCTTTCATTTTCTTACATTTCACCATAAAACTTGAAATACTGTCTTTCAGTATCCACTATTTAATTTAAAATAACCATCTTACAAAATAGGAATCACAGGACATTTAAGACAAACTGTATGGCTGAGAAGAATTGCTGAAATTGAACTGTAAACAATCCTTGATATTCAGTAAATCAGAAAATTTTATAGAAAGAATATTTCTTTGGATATTCTCTGTTGAAGCCCATGCAGAAATTACACTAATGTCCGCGTGACATAGTGAAATGCCTGTAGCTAGATGAACAACCACCGTGAATAAAACAACTGAAATTTCACAATAAATTACTTCAAAAGAATAAATACTTCTCAAGTGTTTAACTATATTCCGGAGACCTTTCAGAATCTTTGAGAGTTAACACTCCACCACATTGCGTTCTGTTGGAAAATAGACAAATACTACTGCCAGATTAAATACTCACTGCATGTGTCAGTCCAAAAACTGGCTCTAACTTCTTAAAGATTCAGTGTACCAAGATCTCTCAGAGAGAGACAGTTGCAATGAAGTTTCAGGACAAAGCACAAGTGACTGATGCTGCAGCACTGAAACTACACAAGTGAATATATTGGCATTGAAACTCTTTAAAATTTATTTCAAAATGCTAAAAGCACGTGGGATAAAATACCAGTTGAAATACAAACGTAAAGTTTTGACTGCCAACACGTAAGGTTAACTGCAGAAGCCCAGGGAACTGCCAGCACTGAGGCTTGGAATATGTGCTCTTCACCACACACTTTTGTAAGTCAGATCCAGATGTTCTATCTAGTTCAGAGCAAACGCAAACTCAACAAGCTTGAAGTTCTGAGCAAAACCACAGTACTAATCAAACCCTGTTTAACACAAATAGCGTTACGTATGGAAGTTCTGGCTAGCTGGCAAACTACCCTGCCCACTGTCAGAGTCCAAAAGTATCACCCTGCCCCAAAAATCTCTTGAAAGACGGATACTTTCAAACATTGCATCAGCTAAGAATAATAATCACACACAGAAGCACCAAGCGGGCACAAGTGTGCCAGCAGTAATTGCTTTTGCATGCAACCACAATTAACTCTGTAAGACACTCCACGCATCCCATTGAACTTCAAATTTCTTGAGATCCTTACCTGAATTAGCAATAAATCACTGATAAAAGAACATCAAAGGGATATTATTTGTGACTGAATTTGTTTTGCATCAAATATAGAAGGTTAAAACGGTAACAAAGTGCAACCTGTTGTACTACACAAGTTTGAAATACAGCACCTAATCGTCAGCACATCAGAACTGAGATAAACTGATACGATTTCTTGTGTTATCAGTGATGAGATAAATCACACACCGAGATAGGTTCTCCATCCAAAGCAAGTCACATGCTCAAATCCAGCACTCTTTGCAGCATCACTGGCAGCGTGTATGGGATCACAGTGTTTCAGCCAAATGGTGCCTACTTCCTCCGCTCCCGCAGGTTTTGACAAAGAGATAACCTGGTTAAATGCAAATCCCTGAAGGCAGACTGCGTGTGACTGATAACTAGTCACAAAAGGAAAGGTTACTTATTCACACTATGCATTTTAAAAGTTACAGTAGACCTTAAACTACCCTTGCATGCAATAGAAAGGTACTGGAAGAATAACTGGCTAAGTGATAATGAGGAACAAAAAGCAAGAAGCAAAGTGACAGATAATGTTGAAGGAGAAAAGGAACTGAAAACATTAAATTGTGCATCTACTTCCAGGAAAAAGTAGCAGTTCCTTATTTCCCCCCCTACAATATACTGTTGTTCCCGAAACAGGTTTTTACCAGATAGACCTCTCACCTGTTTTATTTAAGCCTGAGAAATCACTCGGTGGATTTGGGGAGCTACAGGAGAACACTTAACTATTATTTCTCTCTGGAAGTTCTGCAAAAACTTCCCTACATAGTTACAGCCACTTAATCTCTCAAGGTGTTGAGTAACCCTGGAACTCATTTCATAGCTGAACTGCTACTGATGGTTGGCACTTAAATGCTGAAAAGGGACAGGTACTGTAGAACAGACACGAACCAAGCTCTGCTGAAATTACTTACAGCCTGAACAATCTCAGGCTCACAATAGCAACAGTGTGGATGAACCAAAGTAAGCAGTAGGAGATTTTTGGAACATTTCCTGCGCCATAGGTATGATTAACATCTCACCTACTGTACTGTGTTCAGCTCTGCTTATTTCCTTCTGTGACTTCTGACAGAACTTGCTTTTTGTTCAAGCTAAGATCTACGTATGAATGGAAAATTGCCTGCTATCAACAAGTATCAATAGCACTTACAATTAAAATAAGTGTTTGATTGCAAATGCTGATCAGCATATGTTGCGTGCAATGCCCTTCCAGAAACTGTGGTAAAGAAGAATAACCAGACTTTAGTTTCATTCTCAGAAAGAGAGCTACTGCATTTCTAAGAGGTTACTACATTCAATGCTACTTAAGAACAGCTCTGCTGACATTTGGATTAGCTGTATTGAAGAGAACGTCAGTGAATACAATTGATAATGGGGATGCTTCTCAATAATCTGCGGTTTCTCTATGACTGACAGTACTTATGCTCCCATGTTAAAAAGAAAATTTCTTTAAGTCTATTACAAACTAAGACACATAGACAATTTTTTTCAAATTGCTGATTACTCCTTCTAAGATGTCTTGAGTTCTCTCCATAGAGTAGGTAAAAGGCTACTCTGGAGCAAGCAGACAACTTGCTCTCTTCAGTGTGATAAGTTGTGATAAGGCAACAATCTCTTTAATAGGGATGATACCAAATAAACCATTTAACATAGTCTTTATGACCTTCAGACATCAAAGTAAAAATCCCTTCCTCTTCTATGGCTGCCAGAACAACCTTGACATTTCATCTACAAATCCTTTTACGTTTTGTAATTTACTTTTCTTGATGGCAGTGAGACTAACAATATTCAGGGGGCTTCACCACTCTAGAGGTTTCCTACACAGGCTGCTGACAAACTTAATTTTCAAATAAAGTGCAATTACTTTCAGTTTACAACAGCTGCCCTACAATAGCCTCCCCACCCCAAATAAAAATCAAGACTTGCAGCAGATAGAACAGTTACCAAATTTTAACTTTGCTGTGGACAAACAGTACCCTGCTGCCTGACAGTTTTTTTCCTACTACTGCTGGGGGACAGAAATAGTTTGGAAGACTAGTCAAGTCACACTGGCTACACCCAAACTTCTACCCAGCACAGACATTGTATAAGTGATGCTGTCACGGGATGCACATTGGTTGCTGTGATGTTTCAATAATGAGTCACACAACAGCTTGGAAAATCCATAAAAAAACCTAGCAAAGACATCAGGAGCCTGATAAGGCAGGAATAAGCAAGAAAAGGCAGATCCTAACAATAGAAAAAATGATCACCAGCATGAGACATCTAAAAATTTACAAAGGAGCTTCAATGTTTAGTTTTGTTAAATACGTGAAAACTTTATGTAAAGGGTTTAAGTTCATTTTAAAAATTTGTTTTGCTCCCTATGCACTAAAAATTCTACTTGCATGCTAATTAAGAAAAAAACCAGATGCATCAGTTTCTGAAGAGTTTTGTTTCTCAGCTTTGAAAAACAGTATTTCTGTCCTCAAAAGTTACAAAGGCATGCCTTCAGACGTGAAATAGTACATAACGCCTACCAAGTCTCAAGAAGATATTTGAATATTCTGAGGATCCGGACAACCAAGACACTGACAGTGAACATATGGAAAGGTACAACATGGTACAAGCAGCGGCAAAAGGGAAACACTGGCCTGAATCATAAAGCTCTAGAGATTAGCATTAGTAGTAAAGCTATTTCCTTTTCTCAGGGTGATCCCAAAGGAAACACTCTGGTTCTGAGTTTCTTGCTTCTCCCTGTGCTTAGAATGGGAAGAAAACATGCCAATTTAACAGGTACGTCCCAGACAAAAGTAAAAATAAGAGACAAAACCCTCAAGGATTCAAGCACATCAGTAACAGGCCTTATCAAGCCCTTTAACAACTATCAGAGGGCTGGAAATAACATGAATCTTCCTAAGTTTTCTGTTGATCTTACTATGAAAGGATAAGGCAGGGACTAGAAGACACTATTCAATTTTCAGCCTTAAGACTATACAGTATACATACAACAAAAGAATTGTTTAGCATTTTTTTATCTGCTATAAACACACCGCCTAGTCAACTTTTGTTTGACCTAAGAAAATGAATCCTCAAGCACTCATGCCAAACGGCTGGGAGTAGCTCTTTCACTATTACACCACACCCATATCCATCCCACACAGGCATGCTTCCCATATATTGGTTCTAGAAGAGACTGGCACAAAAGAATTTTAAATTAACTATCTGGCATGGCTTTGTCACTGATGACTACTAGGGCAGACTAACTCTAAGTGATACACTTGAAATTTACTGTTCTCTAAAAGCACTCTTACTGTGCCTAGTGTTCACTTTGGCTAAAACCACGTGAGCCTCTTTATTAAACTAATACTGAAAAATGAAGCCCAAAAAGCAACAGTTTTGTTGAGGTGCAGAGTTTCAGTGGCCAGTCCGGCCCAAACCACAACAGCAGGTATTGAGTTAGCAGAAATTTATGAGGGTCTTAAAAAAACAGGTACAGAACCTCAGATTGTGATGAGAGTAAAAGGAATTGAGGGCAGGAAAACACTGGTGCTGAAACTCTTTTTGCAACAGTGTAGAAGACCTGGTTGAGAAAGGGAGAGCAAGGAGTAACTGTAGTAGCAGAAACGAGGAGAAAACTATTATGTCTGTACACTTAAGAACTACAGATGAAGTAAAAGCATCAAGTTAGATTGCAACAAAATCCATCCTCAGCATTACTGTTTGCAGAATGTACAGTGATCTTGGGGTTTTGGTATGTATATTAGAAAAGCAATAAAGAACTAACATGAAAATAGCTTTACAGGGAAAAAAAAAAAACAAACAGCTTTTCTATTTAAATTATTTTCTTCTTGGTACTTAAGACATCCTGGTCTGAAGCTTTCTTTGCTGTTTGATCTTTAAGCGGAGTTACAATTCTGTTTGTTTTCAAGTTGCCATGAAAATTAATGCAAAGACAAACTTAGAAATGCAATTCTCTGTTGATTTCAGCAGGCAGACAAGCTGTAGGTCCACATGTGGCAATTACCAAATATGGCTAAAAAAACCTAAACATCATCAAATGGGTCTAAATCTACCCGCTTCCCCATGCAAAGAGACCACCTATAAGTAAAGGAGATTCTGCATTTCTCTCACAGGCAAACACCAATTGCTCAGTTATTTATCAGTGCTGGCCTAGTATGAACTTTAAAGGCAGCCAGCCTTAGTCACATGTTAAAGTAAGGTTGTCCAACAGTTAATTGTAATAGAAAAAAGTTTCTCTGGAACAGGCACAACAGAAAAGATGCAGAGCATATAAAATGCATTGACCAGTTTTCTGTACCTCCTTGAAAGCTGTAGCATCACCCTTAAAAGTAACAGCTCCCTCGAGAATAATCAGCTCCTTAGAGTAACAGCTCCCTTGAGAATAATCAGCAATACTGTTACCTAGCACCAAGTTAGAGCTTCCTGCAAAAATGTCTCGGCTATATTAAATGGCAACCAAGTTACAATGACAGCACCAAATTGTGAGGAATCACCAAGCACAATCACATTGTGAGATACTGCAGTGTAATCCCACCAGTTTTAAATAAAATTAAAAAAAAAAGGTTAAGGAGGGAAGGAAGCTTTTTTTTTTTTTTAAATGCCAAAGTTTCGGTAAAAATTTACTTCTATCAGTTGCCTGAAAACTAACTTTTGCAAAGTGTCAGTTAGCCAAATTCAACCTTGACTAGCCAGGAGAAAGGTCACGCACTGTCAAAAGCAATGCTGCTCATAAACTGAAGATTCCATTGATTATCTATAATTATTCACCGCTTCTAAAATTTGAACCCTCGAGATTCATTTTGCACGTGAATCCAAACCAGAGAGCGTAATCAGGATAGAACAAATACTGAAATTGAAGTTTGACATTTGAAACCAGTCTCAATGTCACTTTGCCTTTCACTTGACAAGGACACAGCACACGCTAAAATCAGGAAGTGCCCGTTTCAATGATCCTTTACGTGGAAATGCAATGCGTATGTACGGGACAGGGACAGGTTTTAAAGCTAAATGCTCTGTAAGTCGTTCCTCTGGCTTTCGGAGCCACTAGGCCTTACAGACACCTACAGGTGAAAGGCCGAGGCTGGGCCCCGGCGCCCACAGCACCCCATCCCGAAGGCAGGCTGCCCCAGGCGGGCACCCTCCTGCAGCAAAGAGCACCAGAGTTTTCTTCTGAAAACTGAAAAAGAGAACTCGCGCTGACATTTACAGGCAGAACCCGCTCCTTTGTCTGCGACTGAGCCGCTTCGCCATGTGCGGCTCAAGGAGAGCAGGTCACCACACGCCGACGCCAAAGCCACCTCGGCACCCCCGAGCCGGGCCCCGCCAAGCACTTACCCAGCACATCTGCCGACCGGTGCCGGGCCACGAAGCAGGCGTCATCCCCGTAGCACATGCCTTTCTTGAGGATGCCCTTGCGGAAATCTTTGCCAAAGCCACAGCTGGCTGTCACCAAGCTGTAGTCACGGGAGTCCGTCTGCGAGAGGCCGCCCAGGACTGCCCGGGCCACCAGCCTGCCATAGGAGAGCACCGAGAACATGGCGTGG